GAAAAGTATTTATTAAAAAATAATGTAAAAGCTGAACTGTTCAACAATCATGATTCTAGTACTTGAGGTAACTGCCAATCTCCACCAGAAAACCCTGTTACAGAGCCTGAGGCCTATGAAGTCCAATCCCCAGGGTCTTAGTTCCTCCAGAAAAGCAGGAAGGACAGGGCTTGGCTGCAGGCAATTTTGAGAGGCCTGGGGAAAGAGAACTGGAGAAGGGCAATTCACAACCAGGATGTATTCTTAATCACTATGCCAAGAGTTGGTCACCATCATTGGGCAACTGAGGCCCCATCCTGCTGGGACTCGGTGGAGAAAATGTAGACAGCACCTCAAAATCGTCCACCCTCACATTCCGCTGACTGCTTGCCTTCAGGGCCAGGATTTACTCTCCAGGGTGGGTGATTCCCTCACCTTTCAGAGCTGCAAATGCATAAGTGAAAGGTGGAGTCCCACAAAGGCCCCACACAAAGCACTGGGGGAATGCAAGCACTTTATTCAGTGTAGCTGAGCAGAGCAGTGAAGCCAGGATGTAAGTTGTAAAGGCAACAGACAGCGAGAGAGAAAGGGGCTATGAAGTGGGCCCAGGAAGGACAACACCTCTGCCCCAAACAGGGTAACAGCGCTACTGCAAAATTACCACCACCTCTGGAAACCCGTTAGTCGCAAACACCCAAGAGATGAAAACAACGAAAACACGGTTCTTGTCTACTTAATACATTTGTGCTTTTGTTACAAAAACAGTTATATTTTTTATTTTCTTTCAGGTTTTGTGTTATTCGGGTGTGTTGCTGTAACGGAGGCACAACGCACACACACACATTTTTATAAATACCCAACGCACACACACACACATTTTTATAAATACCCACATGTTTATACCTTTTGGGAGTTTGCCTACTGCTAATTTTTAGAAGAGGCTACAAGGGAAAATTACCACAATGGTACATCTAAATGCTCTGAAACTTAAAATGACAGTTTTGAAAACGACATTGGAAAGAGAGGGACATATATTTTAAAACTGTCACACTACAAAACCTTCTGCCAAAATGCCTATCTGGAGTGTGTACGTATGTAATTTAAGGGCTAATCACATGACAAGGACAATAAAACAAAATACTAAGAGGAAGAAAAAAACCCCCGAAGGTGTTGTCTTTTAAAAAAATAACTCAAACACATAGGATAGTAAAGGCAAAGTCCTTTAAATCATTTCCTTAGTAATACAAGTAATATTTAAATAGATTTAATAGTGCTGCTCCAAACCAATGAATTATGGGTTTAAAACCTATTAAAATGTAATGTTTTTTTCCTGAGCTGAGAGGAGAGAGATTTAAATCCACTGAATTTTAATATTTCAGCTTGAGCTGCAGGAGGTAGAGAAAGTCCAAATGAACTATTCCATCAGCAGCATTCAAGCATGAACATTTTAATCAGTTTTACTTCCTTGGAGTTCTCTAACACAGTTTACGCTGTCATTCTAAAAGCACTTAACACAGAGAGTGTGAAAAACCACCAAGGCTTGTTATTGCTTTCACAATTGATGGCAAATAATTTTGCAGACTTCCTATCATTAAAATGTCACTGCTAAAAATTGAGGTTCAGCATTTCTTGTGCTAAACTGCATTTTCCTACAACACTATAGCATACCTGTTCTGTTCCTAAGGGTTTTTTTAGGGGGTGTGCTTTTTCAAAAAAAAAAAAACCTATTTCTATCACTTTTTTCTTCAAAGAGGTTTAAAAAGTGGGGGAAATCCACAGGAAGCTCATTTTCTATTTTTACAAACCAAACATTTTCTTTTCCAATATACTAATAAAACTTTTGTTTCTTAATGGTAGCTTCTTTGGTGACATTTTATGAGGTTCCTAAGTCAGCCTCCTTTATTAAGCATAACCACATTCACACAGCATGTGCTGATTATATAGTGTAATGGATTTAAAAAGCATTTTAAGATAGTCAGATGACTCAATTTAATAATACAGGAAATGAAAACATCATTTCTAATTAGATCATATTACTGATTTAAAACTACAATTTGCGTGCTGTTCCTACAGTGTGATCTCAGAGATTCTAATTTAAAAACACAGTGGCCAGTAGGGCACATGACAAGATCAAACTAGATACATAACACTCCCTCAGCCTATCCGGGGAACTCCAGGAAGGCTTCAAGGATTCATGAAATACAACCAATCCAAACAAAACATAAAATATTAACCATAAAAAACAACACAGGAGTTTTCCTGCTTTTTTTCCTTATAAATAAAAGATAAGTGATATTTAACTTACTTCAATCTGTCAACAGTTTTAAACTGAACATGACCTGTGAAAAAAATCATCATAACTGTGTTTCATTCCATTAAGCACAACCAGCTCATTGTCAGGAGAACAAGCAGCCTCTCCAGGTTTGGGGCTCACCTCAGCATTCTGCATTTAAACGGCATGGATCACTGGCTTGGCTCATTTACCAATGAAGGTAGAATAATATTGCTGCGTTACAAAGGTGCTTCATGAGATTTCATTAAATCTAAGAACAACTGTGTTGTCTGGGTAGTGTGCATACATATAAAAAAAAGATACATGTTGGTGATAAACGTCTGCAGGGGCTTACTTAGATGGGTCTTGGCTTCTCAAGGGGAAAATTTTCATCTCCTAGGTACAGAAAATCGTTGCCTACTACAGTCTAAGACTCAAGTAAATCTAAAACTGACCCCTCATCACTTTTGGTAGGAGGTCAAAACAACAGCACCTCACAGCTCAGCCATGCCCAAGGGCAACAGCAGTTGCATTTCAAATTCCACAATGTTACAACTCTGAAAACTACTGGACACAAGGCACTACCGGAGCTGAAACAGACAAAGACCAGAGACAAAACAGCAGCAGCAGCAGTTTCTTTTCCAGTGCTTTCCTCCTCACCTGGTTTGTGGCTCCCTAAACTGCTAGGTTTTTCTATTACTGCAACCTACTTCTCAGAAGTCAGACTATGTGATTTTTGACTTCGTTTTCTGCTCATATACAAATAATTTGGAATTCCCACCAGATCCACCAACTATAGTACATGCTGCTTTGATAGCAGGAAGCTCTGAGTTAGTTCTTCAAATAAGTTTCTAGGTCACAAAATTAAATTAGTTTTATTTTAATAATTAAATCCATATATACACAATCTATGTCAGTTACTCGGCTATAGTCTAATAAATCACCCTTTCCCTGAGAAAAGGCAATCTGCCATCCCATTCAAAACAAAGTAGATAAAATGAAATAGATGGAAAACAGCAGTGAAATATACTTGACGTGAAGGGATGGGGACTTGTTCTGATTTTTACAACTTCCCTCTCATTTTTAAGCAACTCCAACATAAAACAGTGTGTTTTGTAGTTAGATTCATCTCTTCACTGTACAGACAGTAATGACTTGAAAAAGAAAGAAAACAGAGCTCTGTTTCCCTAGAGAAGGCCATCAACCAGACATCAGTTAGGATGGATACTGTATTTTAGTAGTTGGTACAATGAACAACTCAAGCCAGACAGGAGCCACTGCACTCTCGTTCCACCCATTCTCCTTCAATGTAGGTTCTGTCCCTAGTGACCCTGGAAGAGGTGGTGACCAGAATACACCCCCGTAACCACAACACACACTTCCAGCAAACACAGCTGAAATTTTACATATGATGCCAGTTTAAAAGTTTTGTCGATGTTTTAAAACATTTAATATGCTGCTGTCTTCTGGAACTTTAGGAAATAACTAATTGTGAAATGTATTCCTCTCTCACCTTTCCCCCACGCTCCCAGCAAAGAAAATGTATGACAAATGAGTCTACGTGGCTTGTTCAGATTCAGCCTCTTCCAAGGCCACTTTTGAGGAAATAAAGGTTACTTTCCCATGTATTTTGTCTCTAATTTAGGACTATTTTCGTGTGGTCAAAGGGACACAAAATAGAGCTCAAAACAGCCCATTAAAAACAAGTTTCAATCGGAGGATTTGTGCCACCACTTCCGCATCATCCCTGAGTTCTGTCCCCGAGTTCTGATTTCCTTGTTAAAGGACAGAGACATAATTGAAGCAACATCTTCACTTCAGATTGATTATCAGGAGACCCTTATCTGCATCTTCACTCAGCAATTTGAATTTTGATGAAAGTAAATGGAATAATTAGCATTTCAAAGTGTTTGATACACTGAGGGTGGGGGAGACTTTTGTGTACAATCCATACACAAAAGAAAGTATCTGGGAGGGGGCAGAAAGAGGCAAGTACAACTGTAGTGTCTTCATTAAAAAACCCAAGGAACTACACCAGCTAGAGAAATAGAGATGTGAACATTGTGTTCGTTGTCAGCCATGACTTTCTCACTTTTATTTCTAAGTTTTAGCACCTTATTTCATTATTTGTTACCTTAATCTGGGAGGACAAAAACATATACAAGTAGAATGACTGCCCAATCCCATGAACTCCTGCAGGATTTCTATGTAACACTATCAATCACCAGGAAGGATTTTTTCACCAGGCCAATGATTTTTCAAAAAGGTGTTCTGTATTATTCTTTCTACAAATGAACACTAGCCCTTATGAACACTCATCACAGGGAAGAGTAGCAGGGTTATGCAAAATGTACATTTTATTCCACTAACAATGATATTAAGATACTCTGTATTTGAGGAAAGATAAAAGAAGTCAGCTCATTTTAACATCAAGGCAATACGAATCTTTTTCCAGTATAGGTTAGCAACAGAAGCTGACTGCAAAGGAAAGAAATATTATGAAAACTGCCTAGTCTCCTCAGAGGAGAGTTTTCAGGAACATGTCAAGTTGAATTGGTGAGAATGCGATCCAAAGTTTCTGAGGTAGCCACCAAATTTCACATGAGATTCAGGGCAAGGTGACTCATTTCCCTTTGTGGTCCTCTACTACCTTTTGCCCTTTTGATGGAATAAAATTTAAAGAGAGAGAGAGAGTGAGAGAGCTGATGACAAACACCAAGATCAGAACTAAAATGGAAAGGCCACGTACCCCAATGATGGCGTTCAGTTCTGCCATGGTCACCTGCTTGGCCCGTTCCACAGCCTGCACCACTTGTTGCTGGTGCTATAAATGAAGATCAGAAACAGAATACAATTATTTGTTTTCTAGTAGGTCAAGAATAGCTTTTCCTAACATGTGCTCTAACTTCATTTACACGCAAAACAGGATTTAGGGGTCTCCGCATTTCAAAGAAAAGCCCCGGGGTGGTCGATGACTAAATGCCTAAGGTACATTGGGGTCTATACTGCTGAGAGGTAACTGGGCATCCAACTGTGCCCTGGGAAGGATGCTCCCTTACAACTGGTAGAAGCTGCTTAAACTTACTTTCATGTCAGTGGTACACCGAGACTCAACCTCCCTAATACCAACTAACTAACACAAAACCCATTTCACCTGCTTCTTTTGTACCCGCCCCCCTCCTCTTTCCACCTACTTAAAATTTTTCAAAATATTTTCTAGAAATAATTATTTTTCAAATTTCTCATGTTCGTCAAACACTAGGACAACAAAACTAAACTTTTGTGTTTCTTCTATAAATGTGAAACATGTTCATACCTGAATTCCTGTAATGAAGGGCTGCATATTTAAGAGATTTAAAACATACAACTCTCACTAGTAGAAAAGTATGAGGACTTCAGATATTTCTTTTAAATACGATGGAAAAACTAAAACCTCAAGTCTAAGTTGTTTTTCTTTGGGAAAAACTAGAATAGATAGTATAGGACCGCCTGTCTATCCATGATTCAGTTCTACAAAGAATGATCTAGAACTGGTATCAGTAATTTTTGTGACATTAAAAAATTAAGTACCACACAAGTCTCTGCATGGAGGTACTCAAATCTGGGCATACACGAGTGCCCCCAAATATAAATAGTTTTTCCACCTAAATACACTTGAACACTCTGGTATCTGCATGCTCAAATTTGGTCTCTGAGAGTCTTTTTTGGACTTCTTTTAACTAAGTTTAGGGAAGAAAGAGCCAAAGGGCTTATGCTGTGAAAACAGGCATTCTTCCGTGTGCCTGGGAAGAGTTCTCTCTGGGCTGATCTCAGCTGAGAATGCAGCTAACTTTCTCTACTGCTTTAAGTAAATATGAAGCCCAGCTATCATACACTACCTAATGCATACAAAGAGCTAAGCCATCAGTTAGACATGAAACTCCCCTTGAGCTATGTGGTACTACATTCCAAAACCCTCAAAGAAATAGTTACCAAGATCGACTTGGGTGGGTGACAACCACTGCATCTACAAGCTGTACAGCAGAGACAGTGGGGGACGTGATGTGGAAGAGGAAGTCACTTCAAATTAGTTATCTCCATGTGGTGTTTTCACCCTAACAGAAACATGTATTTTCTGTCTCTAACTAATTGAAAGAAAAATGTCAAAAAAACAGATCACTGAATTTGAAGCTTTCCATAAACTCTGAACATTAAATATACCTTTGATTTTTTTTTTAATTTTAAGTTTTAAAACAAGGGCTTAAGAAGCAATCCCAAAGTCTTCACAGATATATCTGTCCATTCTCTTGCTCTTTAATAAAATATTTGCCAAAGTGAAATCATTTCTCTCTTTCTCTGAATAAAGTCAAAAACCTAAAGATTTGTCAGAACACTAGAGGACAGACACAACCAATAAAATGACCAGGAATAGTAGTTTTCCCTTAAAGCCAATCTGAGCATTATCTGTTTACTGAGTGCCTAATATGCTCCAAGTACAGAGCTCATGTATAGATTTAAAGTAATCTGGTTGTCAGAGTAGTGGGAAATGGCAGTACTTCAAAAGCAAAGAAAAAGACAACATGTAGGACAACTCTGGGATTTATCTATTACCCAAAGTGAGTATACGAACACAAATTTTTATGGACTTTTCCACCTTTTACTTTCAACAATCACTGCTCGACATTTCCAAAAACCCAAAGACTCAAGGACCATATGTACATACATCCAACATGTTTCATTCTATTCATGCATCCATTCATTCAACAAAAGCTTTTAAGCCAGTCTTCCTCTCTGCCCTTTGTCTATACTACTGAAATATCTCCCTATTACTAAGACATCATCTTCTTTATAGTAAGCTTTCAAAGAACAGTTTCATTAAGACAGAGATGCAGAAAATATATCTAGTTTGGGCCTTTCTACCTTAAAGATAGTTCAACTTTTGCTTCATAAACTGGATTCCAGCTGCCAAGATACACACGTATGCCTTAGGCAGTGGGGATATCTTTCTGGCTCAGCATTAAAATCAAATGTATTTATGGAGAAAACCAGAAATACATCAGTGAACCATAACACTGACATGTGACGTTCCTACAGAAGCTCTTGTTAAAAAGCTAAAATGGCAGTGGAAGTCATGATTCAGTTCCTTCCCCATCTCTCATGGCGATGGCCATGTTATGCCACATCTAAACTTTACCTGTAATTCAGCACTTTACTTCCCTATTTCTGCTTACAACTGTGAATCATCTGTTTAAGGAACGACCTTTTGAATAGAAGCTCGCTAATGCAGAGAATGCCTCCTCCCCTCTGTGCTCCGAAAGCACCAGAAACCCCGACACTGCTCACTCAGCGAACACAGCACCACTGTACCACAGACTAAAGAAGCATGTACCAGATAAGGTATGAAAATGAAAACTCAGAAAAGGAGCGAATGAAACACAAAGAAGGCCAAAGTACTTTTACAAACTGATTCAAAGGAAGCATTTTTTTCCATGTTCAAATTGCAACAAATAACCTCTATGAATCAGAAAATACAGCAAGTTTTTCACATCTTCTTAGAAACATGATGGCTTTCCCATTATTTCTGCCACCTCTTCCCCTTTTCTTCCCCTTCCCCATTTGTTCTTCTCCTCCCACTCCACCCTACAGCTCATTTCCTCTCCTACTTCCTGCTTCTCCCCTCTGCCATCTCACCACAAGTTGTGACCGCAGCCACTCTAGACCCAGTAACCTGCGTAAGGCAACTAACCATCCTCTCGGCCTCTCTTATTGCTCAAGCTGCTCACTCAGATATAAGCTCCCGATCTGAACTTTACACAGTACCACCAAATAAAACACCACTAAGAATGTATTAATAAGCCAAAGGTGATGTGTGGGGTTAGGGGATAGAATTCCTCTAATAAGGATTTGGAAAAGAGAATTATTTACTGTTTATTATTTAAAATACCGTGAGTTATAATTCTTAAAGAATCCTTTAAAAAAGCAACCTATATTGTGGTTATGGTTATATAACTCTAAATTTACTACAAATCATTGAATTGTACACTTAAAATGAGTGAATTTTTTGATATGTAAATTATATCTCAATAAAATACTATGGTTTAAGAAGTACAAGCACAGTTGGAAAAAAAGGTTGGTAAATGAAATTCTATACATTAAATCAACTGCCTATGTTCATCATAAAATTATTTTTTGAATTTGCTTAGGACAAGTACTGAAAATATAAATATAAGCTTGAAATCCAAGAAAGCCTGCTCAGAAACAGACATTCACAAACCACAAACGTGTGTGTAACAGGTGTTTAATGCACATTTCTCCAGAGATTACGATGACGTTACCTGCCATGCCAATACTCTTTGGAGCATGGCAATAGATAATGGTGCTTTTAATTAAAACAGTAACTTAAAAACAAAACCCTCTACAACTTAGAATCTTTTTTTAATACCCCCACTTACTAATAGAGATAGTAAAAGGGTAGAAGGGCAAAGATGTAAAATGAAACAGGGTCCTATAATGAACAACAAGGTTCCTGACACATGGAGATCCACCGGTGAGCCATAGATAACTGCCCCCTACTCCAAGAACTCTCAGACATACAGGACTGCAGGGTATAAAACACTAAGGAAGACTACAGAAAGTAATGACAAAAGCACACTTCCTGGGGCATCAGGAAAGGCTTCGTTTTCTTATTCATTGAATATTTATTTAGCACCTACTATATATATACCAGGCTTTATAGTAGGAACTGAGATAAGGGTAATGACCAAGACATTTGGTGAACTGATAATACTCAAGAGGCTCTGTAATTACAGTTAGAAGATAACTTCCATGAAGAAAATTACAGGATGCTAAGTAATCACTTGTCAGAGAAATATCTAATCGAAACTCAGGCCTAGGGGAAGATTCCCTAGGGAAGCTGACCCAACAACTGAGACTGAAGGGATTTGCAGGAGTCCTGTGGATGAAGAGCCAGGAGAAGAGAATTCTAGGAAAAGGGAACAGCTCAGCTAAGGTTCCTGGAAGGAGAAAGGAGCTTGTCTGTGGAGGAAGAGAAAGAATGTGCGTCTGGAGAAGGAAAGAAGGTTGGATCTGGATGGAGGGCCTTCTTGGAAATGGCCAAAACTTAGGCCAAACTCCTTAAAGTGGAAGAGGTATTTACAGAAGAAACTACACAGGCAAGTGGGTGAAGTCACCTGAGTCTGGCACACACGTACACACTCCACAAACCGCACCCTAGTGGGAAGTGGAATCAGTAAGGCAGCAGGAGGTCAAACGCAGAGGGCTGCAGGCAACCATGCAAAGAAGCTGAACTTTACCTCGGTAAGGCATTTTTCTTAATTAAAAAAATTTTAAGCACCTGAGTGCTGTCATTTCTGCATTTTAGTAAGAAATACCTGGTAACAGTAAGAAGATGGATGGCAGGGAAGTGAACCAGAGTAGAGGGAGCAAAGTGAGAGGGCTAGGCCAATATTCTAAGGTGAAAGATACCTAGAACTTGGACCGAATACCCTTCTTGCCAATAAGAATCACTAGCCACATGTACCAAACAAGCCACTCCCTCAGAACTAGAAAAAACCTTTAGAAATCATGAGACCCAGAACCCAGTAGTCCTCAAGTACGGTAACAACTAATCAGCCAACCAGCCAACCAATCAACCAAAAAGTCTCTCCATATTTCCAAATGCCTACGAATTTCCAAATGCTGCCTGGGCTGAGAAATTGGAGTATGGCACTGCTATACCAACCACAGGCCAAAGGCCATTACTATAACCAAGAGATAAATGTCCTCTACCATACTCTAAAATAAAGAGTAGTCGGTCTGTCTCTCCTTGGTCACACATTCTTTGAA